ACATTTCCATCGAAAAGTTTCGACGTAAAACAATTACGTCAAAATTTTTTAAGGAAAACATTTCGAAAAAAAATTTGACGAAAAATATTTCCATGACGAAAATATTTCCATCAAAATTTGTCACTAAAAATATTTCTACAAAAAAAATTGGCAGAAATTTTTTTTTGTCAAAATTCTTTACGGAATCAAAATTTCGTCAAAATATTTCACAAAAAACATATTCATCGAAATTTTAGACGAATAATATTTTCATCAAAATTTTCACCGAAACACATTTTCATCGAAAGTTTTTTATGGAAAAAAATTTCATCAAAATTCTTTACAAAATTTAAATTCAGTCAAAAATTTTTGATGAAAACGTTTTCATTAAACATTTTGACAAAAAAAAATTTCATCAAAAATTTTCGACGAAAAATATTTTCGTCAAGTTTTTTTAAAAAAATATTTTCATCAAAATTTTCAACGAAAACACGTTTATGTCAAAAAATTTCGACAGAAAATATTTACTTAAAAAATTTTGACAAAAAATATTTCAATAAAAAATTTTGATGAAAAAATATTTTATCAAAATTCTTTACAGAATCTAAATTTCGTCGAAAGTTTCGAATGAAACATTTCCCTTAAAATTTTTGACAAAATAATTTCCGTCGAAATTTTTGTGAGAACACATTTTCATCGAAATTTTCAACGGAAAATATTTCGTCAAAATTTTTTACGGAATTCCTTTTTCGTTTAAAATATTTTATGAAAGAAATCATTTTCATCAAAACTTTTGACAGAAACTAAATTTCGTCGAAAATTTATTTTTGAAAAAATTTTCATTGAAGAAAAAATTCCTTCACTTTTCGACGAAAAGTATTCCGACAAAAAATAATTTTGTGACAAAATTTTCGTCGTTTGCAATGTAGAAATTTCGCCGAAAGTATGATCTTTTTTAGTTTTGTGAAAAGTATATAAATAATTTGGTTATAAATTTTAAATTTAATTTAATTTGTAAAATATAATAATGATATTAATTTTAAAAAAGGGATAAAATGGTAAAAATATCTCATTTGCCCTCTGTTTTTCTCCCTTATCATTTTTTTTAACTCTCAAACAAGGAAATGGAATACCCTTCCTTCCCCTCCAAACTGTCAAACAAAGCCTGAGGGTACTAAAACAATGTGAATTGTGATTTGAAAAGGCGAAGAAAAGAAACCACTTTTATGTAGTTGTTTTTGTATGATCTTTTTTTTTTTTGAGTTAACCTAACCCTAAACTAATTATTTCTTTTGATGCGAGTTGGCTCCTCCTGATATCTCCACAATTCTGACTCTTTGAGCCGACTATAAGACTAATCTAGAGTGTTGGGTGGTTCAGGTATGAAAATATTTAAACTCCCTTGCTACCATCACTTGATGTCTTTGTATGATTTGTATTCTTTTTGAACCTACACCATGGGAGTTTAAACTTTCAAAAAAGAATGGTTAATCGGGTATTTCAGTTAAAGCTTGAAGGCTTGAAGCATGCTAGCCAATTGAAGATTGGAATTCTATGATATTGTCTCTTGAGCATAATCCAAGAGTTTCACAATATGAATTCAGAATGAGGATAGAGACCAGGGAAAATCCGAAATGAAGAAAATCATTTATGCTGCGGAAAGGTCGAAGATTGAGGAGAACTTCTTGTAACCTATGCAACTTTGTAATTTTCAAAAGAAAAAAGTACTCATACCTATAGCTGGCAAAACGGGCTCGGCTCGGCGGGCCAACCCGCCCAACCCGCTAAACGGGGCGGGGTGGGCTGAGTTTGTCAACTCATCTCAAAAGTGGGACGGGACGGGGCAGGCTCATTTTTTGGCGGGTTGATAGCGGGCATAGGCGGGCCAAGGCCGGTTAGTGTAAAATAGAAACGGGCTGGCGGGCTGATAAGTCCAGGAAATGTGACTTGAAACATGTGGTTTTAATATGAAAATGTAAATGAAATGAATATCTTGTGTATAATATTAGCCCCAAATGCATTGAGTTGAATGATTCTGTTTTAAGAGCTAATGGGCTTTTATTTGTAATTTTCAAGCTCATTTGTTGATATTGCCCAAGTAAAGAAAAGAACAAAAAGAAGACAAAGAGTTGGGTTGGACTTTTACACTACAAGTCAGAAGAGACAAGGAAAGAAAGAAAAGTAAAGGAAGAAGAAAGAAAAGAATAAAAAAATCAAGAAAAGAAAGAATGGGCTGATCTTTTGAAAGGCAAGTCAGAATGCCAAATTGAAGAAAAGGAAGAGATTGAAACAAAGGCAACACAGCTTTGACACAACAGAAGAAAAACACGAACCCTAGCACAACCCCCTGTGAGAAAAAACACCATCCAAACCCAACTCAAGCCACCCATCTGGATTCCTTTCTACAATCGAACCACCAAGCCAAACCGTCCTTTAATTTCGGTCAAGCCACAAAGCCTTAGCGTAACCCACGGTTCTTTTTGATAACCAAACCAATCAAAACACCAACCCTAACCAACTTTTGCTTGATACAGAAAAAGCCAAACACATCCCTTAACCGATTTGGTGAGCTGGAATTTGTTAGGAGTGTGGGTTGAAGATTCTTTTGGAGTGCGGGTGCTATCCTTGCAAGGGAAACACACGATTGGGAAGAACATGGAGCACACGTGCGGGCTGAGGTGTGAACCGTTATGCATGAAGGAGTATCGGCTATAAAAGGAGAGAAAAAAAGCATTGTAAGGCTTTCCTTCTCTTCGTCTCTTTCGATTTAATTTTATTGTTTCTGTTCTGATTTTAGGGATTTTAATTTGTGATTTTCTGAGCACTGTAGTAGAGCTATTCTCTGGATATAGCTTCTGCCTTTCAATTTTCTTTGTTCGGAGGTTTTTAAATTCATGTTTGTAATTTCTCTTTGCTGTTTGTATGCTCATAAACCTATGGTGATGAGCTAAATTTCTTTAGAGTTGGGTTGAAAGAGTACCCAGAACTCATTTGTTATTAGTTGCTGTTTTAAAGCTTAAAGTATTAATTTCCAGTTTGTTTACTGTGTGTTTTTCATGCTGAGTTTGATATGTGATGGCCACACATAGGCTACTCCTAGTGGTGTGGAATTATTGGGAAATAACCCACACTAGACCTCACATTAAGCACATGAAAAGTTGAGTGAGATATCTCTCAATGGGTATGGCTCCAGGGATGAAGTTACCCCCATGTAACTTAAGGAAATGGTGCTTCAAGGTCTTGTACTAATGATACACAGAGATGTGTCATATGTTATTTATGGGGGGAAAACCGTTGTTGGGAAACAATGGTTGTTTGTGTATTTTCATTAAGCTGGAACTGTTGAAAAAACAACATCTATTTTCTGTCAAAGCAACTTAATAGCAAATGAGGGAAGGGGAAATTGAAATCTAACTTATTTTCAAACACTGTTTTTAAATCAATCTTTGTTGCTACTTCTTATTTTTGTTCAAATCAGAAATTTAATTTTCTGTTCTACAACTTGAGAGAAAATAATAAAAAAATATATAAATGCTTCTATTTAATTAATTTTCAGTCAGTAGTTCAACTTCTTGCATCAACTAAATCTCTATTTGAAAAAGAAAATCTTCTCAAAAATATTTTCCTTGCACTTGGTTTAGAATAGCAGTTCACTTAATTTGATTTTATTTTATTTTTGGTTCTGATTAGTAATTACAATTTTAGTCAAGTCAAAAACGCCAAAGATCCTTGTGGGAACGATAACTGAGACTCACAAAAGCCCTATATTACTTGTTGTCGCGTATACTTGCATAACTGTTAGCAAGGCAACACGGGCCAACCTGCCCAATCCGCCAAACGGGGCAGGACGAGCTGAGTTTTTGAGCCAACTTTCAAAAGCGGAGCGGGGTGGGTTGGCTCATTTTTTGGCGGGTTGATGGCGGGGTGAGGCGGGGCGGAGCGGGCCGCCCACTTTGCCACCTCTCATACCTAATAAAGTATAACTATAAATCATTGTCCTTCAAACAAGTGATTTTTTTTTTCTCTCAAACAATTTCAGGTGGTTACTGATTTATATTCACCCGGCCCAAAACAGTACTTGGCCCAACTTGACCAAGCATTTTTTAACGCCCCATGTGGCACGTCCCTATCTTAAGATGGGCCCATCAAAGCCATAAGACCGAATCCTTGTTCACAAGTAAGAACCCTCCGGCCAAGAAAGAATCTTGACCCATTCAAAATAGGAAAGTAGGACTTTCGATTCTTCGGCAAGTAGATATATTATAGCGCTCATCTAATCCCATGCAATAGCAAAGAAGATTTTTTATGTTATAGACACATGTGATGTGATGGCCTTGCCATTTATATATAAAAATAAAATAAAATAAAAATAATGGGAGAATTGTTCTCTCATGTTACATGAGAGTAGGAAAAAAGATCTCTCATGTTGTATAAGAGTAATTTTTTCCAATATAACATAATAATGTTAGAAATATGTTGTTTGACATTTTTTTTAATATTGCTTCTATTATTTATTAAAACTTTATACTAAGCCTCTTAAATAATTTGAACCCAATCTCTATGAAGTTTTACCAAATAGTAAAAACATTTTAAAAAAGAACATCAATACTAGCATTTTTTTTTAATATATACAAGTAATTTTCTTCAACACAATCTTTCTCCTACACCTCAAATGGTCAAACCTATTAAGAGATGAATCCTCCTATAGTTCTATATCATAATCAATTAATATTAGTAGAGACTCAAAACCTTTTAATAATTCTCTGACGACTATCTTTATCCAGAAAATTTCTTTAATTCTTAACCTTTCTTTAAACAGTCAACCTTCAATGAATAGAATCCTATTCCCCCTAATAGGTTTCCCTGGATTCCAAACTTGACTAATTTGTTTATAATAGCTATAACCAATCAAAGTTGAAATCAAATACAATATCAGTACGGGTTGCAGGTGAAGAAACCCATGATATAAATTTCTAAATAACAAGCATATTTTTTTTATTAGTAATGAAGATTGAAGAACACACAATTTTTCAATGTCAAATTGTCCTTGGGAGCTTGCACAAAACACAAGAACTACTAGCACAATTGCCACAATCTTAAGAGTGACTATAGAGCACAATCCAAGAATACAAAAGGACTTTTAGAACACATTCACATGAAAAAAGATATATCTCACTGGGATAATATTTTAAAACTAAAGGATTTGTTTAACCATGCCTTCCAGCCACCACTGCTTTTTCGAGAAATAAGCTCCGATTCTGGTGCTGTCTTTGATGAGTACACCTGCTTTTTGCACAGCACAAAATTCCTCACCCCATAAGATCCTATGGGTTCCAATGGATTCAGAGCTGTCAAAGAAGTTCCACCAAAAAGAATAACCCTTTGGCTTATAACCACAGAGAACCAAACTTTAAAATGTGCTCTACTATTCTATCAATGCATGGCACATGACATGTATATAGTTATTCAATCACTAAAGTCCAAAATGAAAAGCTATCCATAGTCCATACAATAGTGTAGTAATCAATTTTAATTTTTGTTTTTCATTGGGAAACAACAACCCCCAATAACATGGTGAAAATAGAGTGCAAGTGTACCAACACATAAACATGAGAAAAGAAAAGACATATGATTAAACATGACATTACTTTTCTGCATCAGCCGCATGTCTGACTTAGAGACCAAAAAAAAAGGATGCACCAAATTTTTTATAAAATAAAAAAATTATCAGGATCCGAGGTCTGTTATGTTATGGCTCACAACCACAGAAATACTTTTCCCTTAAAACATTTGCCAATGAAAAACAAACGACAACTTGAGATGGGATATGCAAACATCATAGGAAGAAGATAGAACACAATTAACATATATATTAGAAGAGTTATATTTATCTCATTTTTCGATAGAAGCCAAATTTCTATACACATAAAATCAAAGTGAATTTCATCCCCTTTTTTTTTCTCTTTTTATCGGCTACACATAATTGTTCTCATGTAGCATAAAAAATGATTTCCCATATTAGAAATGGCCTTTTGGATCAAACACGCAAAGTGGCAAAAAAAGACTAAAAGAGTGTGACTTTCATGCACCAAATGAAAAAGGAAAAAACAATTTTCCAAAAGGATAAGCAACGATACATACCATCAAATCCAGCATTTGCACAGTAAAGAAAGAAATTGTTGGCATCAGACCCAAGAACAGGAAGCCTCCCTTCACGAGCATAGGATTTAAGAGCAGTGTCAATGACCCCAGAAACAAGGTCTTTCTCATTGACCACAAACCTTATGGGACCCGCACTCCCTAGGATGTTGATGTTGACCAAGAACCTGTTGCTCCTCGTTTTCTGATCCTCGTTGTTGTTGTTGTTTCCCTTGTTCTTGTTCTTCTGCAGCACCATCTTCTCCAAAGCGCTCTTCTTCACCATCTTGTGGCCTTCTCTTTTGAAATTTAGCACAAACCCAGATGAAATCAAACCCCAAAGATTGAAAATTTGTAGAAGAAAACGAACTGGGTAACGAGGTTAAGGGTCGAGACCGAGGCAGCGATAGTACCAAGCAGCTTTGGAGGATCCAAAGGAAGAAGGAGATGGTGTGTGAAGGGTAGTGCCACGCGCTAAAGCAAAGAGGAAGAGCATCAAAGGAAGAGATATACGCAACATTCAAGGCACAGTTAAGAGAATTGAAGAATAAAAATGCATCAACCAGAAATCAGAGGAAGAATACCACTCAGAAAATGAAACTGTAATGAACCTGCACTGAGTGCTTCTGCTTATATATTCAATTTTTTTTCAAGTCTTTTGTAATTTTGGTTTGTCCAATTTTTTTTTAAAAATAATATAAAATAAGAAACACCCTTTATTCTGCCTCATTTTGGTTCGCTCATAAATATATTTATGTATATATTTGGACAATATTTAATGCGTTAGATGGAAAAAAAAATTATTTTTATTTTAAAAAAAGTAAATGGAAAATTTAATGCGTTAATGAAATACAAGGTGAATAACGGTGTGGTATTCATTTGGGGTAGAGTTCATTTTGAAGTGTTGCTGCATGGAAAAGGCAAGTTTCCATCATGCAGTGAACGAGTGGACGAAAGTTTTTGTTTATTTTTTTAAATTTATATTTATAACTTATTTTTCGTTACAATCACAATTATTATCGTTGGATCAAAATCAAATCAATAGTTACGTTGATTTAATTTTGATCTACTCACAATAAAAATTATTATAAAAGAGGGTAGGATAAAAGAGATATAACCTCCCTAGTTCTTTCTTTATTTCGATTCATAGATATATTTGTCAAGGTTGGCATCTAGCTCCTAAATGTTCCCAAATTTATGTTGTTTCTTTTGACTTTTGAGGTTGAGGAGAAGATGGTAACAACTAGCCCATTACATCTGAGTTACTCAGCCTCTCACTCTCAGTCCTACGTTAGCATACACAAATATATTACTTCTTTATTTGGTGTTATTTTCTGTTTCTCTTTTTAGAGATGCGTGAGAAATTGAGTGTCATCCAATAGCAATGCATGATGATCGTTTACAGTTTTAAAAAAAAACTATAAACAATTTCAATTGTTACAATTATTTCAATTGTATTTGACCCGTCCAAATACAAGTTACTTAAAAGGTACACAATATGCATTTACACAGCAAACTTCTTGAGGTTGTCTGCAATTTTAATTATTTATTTGTACTACAACAACAACAAAACCCTTTTTTTCAATTATATGATTGAAATAAAAGATATTCATTAAAGGGTTTTCATTTTATCCTTTAACATAACACAACAAACTTTCCTACACTCACAACATTTTGTGGGGCCCACACTTTTTAAAACAAAAAAATAAATAAAAAATTAAGGCACGCAAAACGAATTTCTATAACATTACACAATCACTTTTCCTACAATATAACTCTTATAAAACCCTTCATTAAATACACATAATTGCATGGCTACATCACTACGCTAACCATCTGATGTTGTCATTTATAATAGAAAAACCCTTTGATTAAGTGATGCAGTTCTTATGTTCACGGCAAATCAAGTTTTACCATTTGAAAAGAACCAGCTGCTGATAGCGTGACGTGCCCTATAGTAATATTTTATAGAGGTATTTGTGATCCGTATTGGATCGATTTTGAAGCATCTTATCTTATTCTATTTGTTTGGATTATTTTTTTAAAATCCAATTCAATTTTATTTGATTTGGATTAGATCGGTTTTTGATTTTTCGAAAAGTTTAAAATTTCAGTCATACAAATCACTAACTATATCAAAATAAAAAATTATTGAAAAATTCAAGTCTTCAAACTAAAACAAGTCTTAAAATTCATAAAGAGTTAAAATAGATTAATAGACAATAAAAAATTAAAACAAAACAATTTACTACTAATAATATATAAGATTCCAAGTCTACAAAACAACAAAATTTCAAGTAACCATCTTTCAAAAATAATAAATATATCAATTTAGATTAGATCAATTTTCACTAACCAAACCGAAAACCGATCCAATCCAATTATAATATGCGAGATTTTTTTTCAATTTTTGGTTAATTCAGTTCAGTCACAATGATTTAAATCAATTTGGATCAATTGATGAACACTCCTAATATTTTACATTATGGACATGCTGGTGTGTCTTCTTCCATTTGTAGAGTAGTGTCTAGTAAACAAAACAAAAATCTTGTACATACTTTTAATTCCTGAACTTTAAAAAAAAAACAAAGTTAAGAGAATTTACTAATATGGTATCTCGTGAAAAAATAAATCTACAATTGGCACGTTAAGATTCACAGTTATCAAATGCGGATTGCGGCATGTCGTGGCCAACCCCAAAAAATACTATATTATTATAACGAGTTGCGGTTGCGAAAATAGCAGAATAGATATATGACAAAAATAATAACAAAAAGAAACATTTTTTATAGGCAGAGATAGCAGAAATTACAGAGAGAAAGACGCGGATAGACTAAAAAACTCTTAATTACGTTACACATTTAAATTTAGGACAAAATTGATATTTTGCCTTATAACAGCAATATAGCCGTAATTTGACCGCAAATGCGATCACAATGGCCGCTATGGCGTTCCGGTGCGGCGCGTCGCAATTTCTTGCGGAGAGGCACCTCAACGCTCATACAGCGCGGCTTGCGGCACTATTGCGGCACAATTAACTACTATGTTAAGATTTTCTTTTTCTTTTTTGAATTAGTTATGGGAACTAACTTCTTGTGTTTTTTTAAAAGTTTAGAATGATATAGTTATTTGGTAATTTAGTGCAATTTTTTTACTGATAAATCTAAGCATAATTTCATTTAATGCACAAATGGAGAAATTAAAAAATATGTATATATATTTATTTTTTTGGTAAAAAAACGCATATAAATATTGGTGAAGTTTTATTCTTTTGTCCCTTAAATTTACTTAAATTTCCTTTTTATCCATTGACTATATATTGTTTCATTTTTGCCTCAAATCTTAAGAAGAATTACCAAATTTGTCAGCCATTATTTAAAAAAAAAAAAAAAAGGTTAAACATGCTATTTATGTACTCATGTCCACATAGCATTCCATAATAAGTAACTGTGTTAGCGGAAGAGACTGGCTTGTTAGGTTTTTTTAAAAAAAAACATTGTGCCAGAAATGAAACATTATAATTGCGGAATAAGAAAGAAACTTAGGATAAAGTTGCCTATAGCCAAATCAAAAAGAAAATTTAAATAAATTTGAGAAAATAACTACATATAAGAGTGGTCAGGATTGAAAAGACAGATCACTCACTCAACCACTAACAAGTTATTTTTCGTTAACCCTTCACCAATAATGGGGAACTCTGGTGATAGCTGCCATTCACCATCTACTAAGAATTTGATTTCATACCTACATAATGTTTTTTGTTTTTGGGTTAAAAGATGACTCTAGGTTATAAGCTCAATTTAAAAGCTTTAGCGAGTTGACAAAAATGGTACCTTCCTGGCCTAAGCATCAATGTTGTTGAGAACCTTGTGTAAGAACCAGTATATTCAGGTGAAAGGTGCTCCCCTTGGCTCCAACCATCAAAGGTGCCCATAACTTGCACGCTCTGATGGAAACACAAGTTCAAACAGGAAACTTAGGCATTAGCACACACATTAAATTTCTGAAACCACCCCATAACACAATGTTGCAAAGACTTCACAGAAGAATTTATATATTCTGAACATTTGAAGCCAATGCTTAGTGCTGAAAAACAAATTTGTATACATTAATGTACTCATTGATGTTATTTGGGACACATTTTATAAAGAAATCAAAACTCACTACCGAAATAGCTTGATAATATAGTCAAAGAAACTTGAATGTACCTAAAAGGGTAAGCCTGGAGTGACTGAAAGGTCAGCTGTTTGAATCTAAGAAACAGTCACTTTTCAAATATGCAAGAATAAGGTTACTTATAAAGGTTGCCCTCACTCCACTCCTGCTAGTCAGGGTTTAATAGGGAGTAGTTTTTTTTAAACTTGTATGTGTCTCCATAAACCTGAACTTTTAGTGGGAATAGCATGGGAGGAAGAAGGAACAGAGAACTTTCAATGATTCAAGTTAGTTGTAGCAGATAACTGATTCTATTGCGTTCTTAGGGCTCGTTTGTATTGCCTTTTCAAGAAAGTCCTTTTTATCACTTCCTTATTTTAAAAGTACTTTCTATAAAAGTTACAGCTATTTAGATTTTTTTTAAAATATTTGATTTTTGAAAAAAATATTTGGCTTTTGACTTCTGCTTTTTTTAAAAGCTAAAATTTTTAGCCTCCGAAAAAAGTAAATTTTTGGTTTTTTTTATGACTTCTGCTTTTTAAAAAGCAGGCATCCAAACAGACTTTTTTCGAGAAGTGCTTTTTTTTTCTTAAAAAAAGCAACTTTTGAAGAAAAAAAAGCCCATTCAAACGGGCTCTTAACACTGGCTATAAAAAGCTATATATTAATTTTTGAGAGCACATACAAATAGACATTAATTTAAGCAAAACACAGTTCCAATGATTTTTAGTTTCAAACCAAATCCCCACTGCATATTTGGAAGCCTACTGTTGGATGTGCTTACCTCAGCCATGCCAAACCAAAACACAGAAACCTCCTTCGATTGGGCCGCATCAACATCCTTTATTTGTTCGTTCAATTTTTCATGTACAGCTATGTAGGCAAATATAATGCATTTATAGGACACAAAAGAGGCAAAGTTGGTAAGAAAAGACATTGCCATTAAGTTCTATTAGCTTATTCCACACAAAAATCAACACCGTTGTCCAGAAGTAGACTTGTTGAGTAATAAGGGAAAATACCAGTATACCTTCTAATCTAGCAACAAGGTGGGAATGAATGTACTTTCCATTGATCTTCCTTGAACCTTCTGGAATACCACATTGAGCTATTTCTTCTGCTAGTCTGGCCAAAGCCTGCACCCAAAGTAAACAATATCATAGCACTGCATATGATTCTCAGCAGCTTTGAAGTCTGAACAATTCAATAGTGCAACAAATGAATTCCAGTGAGGCAAACTAGTGCCATGCATACTAACATTAACAAAAATACATGTTTGGAGAGCTTAATAATTGATTGGGCAGAGAATTAAACTGCCCTTAATTGGTTAGATAACATTCTTTTTCTCATTATCATCTTATTAGTATAATATAGCTTTTACTATTAAAAGTTCCATCAGATTAATTTAATTGTTTAATCATATAATTAACAATTAGTATCTTTATATTCTAGGACACCAAATTTTATTTTATATTTGTAATTATTAGTTTGGGATAAAGGTGGTATTGATGTTGATTTGTAGCTATTAGTTATTATAAAAGCTATAACAAAATTTTAAATTAGTATTCTTCTCCCAGTTTCATGTTTACTCACAAACTGTGTTTAACTAATAACAAGCTTAATAATATATTCATGAACATTGAACAATTGAAATGCTAAAAGATTGTATCTCGTGACTTCTAACAACAAAAGAATAGAGCACTACAGCAAAAACACTGAGTGGATAGTATTCATGAGGTGAATCTTCTGTGCAAAAGAGGAGTAAAAGAGATAAATAACCACACAAAAATTGATGATTTGATTCCCAAAACAATAACATAAAGGTTATTAAGATATAGGCATAACATAAAAAGTATTATGGAAAAATTATTAATTCCTAGTCCTGGGGCTCATTCACTTATAAAGCACGAAAACTGCAAGTCCGTGTTGGTCAGCAAGTATCAAACACAGAAATATTGGCAACATAAAAACAGCATAAAACTTCAGAAGGTGGCAATAAATTCTAACCTGAACTTCAAGCTCCATAACAGCAAGTTCACTTTTAAATTTTACCAATGCATCCTCCTTTATATGCAACTGTAGAGAAAAAGAGGCCAGCACAAGATCTTAGTGCAATGGCCTTTGCCATTATACATCTTCATTCTATCTTCTGACTACACCTCAAATTACTAGAAAAACACTTTGCCCCAAAAATGGTTCAGCATATAATCATAAATCAGCATAACTTGTGAGTTCAGTAATAAAACCCATCCCCACCCCCTGCCCAGGAGCCCTGATCCCAAAAGTAAAGAAAAGAGAATACAAAAAGTTGAAAAATTAGAAGGCTCAAGCAATTCTTAACAAGATATACTACAATTGCCCTTTGATTGCCTAATGGGGAAAAAGAATATCAGACTACTAATTCTCAGATAGCATATCCCGAACCAACTATCCCAAAGCTTAAGCTATTAGTTAAAGACATATGAATGGTTTTATAATACATCTATAACATTATCAAATTCATCTTACCTTCCACTTGGACTTATTTTCCAAATACCATGCATCCCACTTCTATCATGTTTCTGTGTTGATCCATTTCTTTTTATCCGCAATATAACCAAAAATAGTTATCTTGTTTTATTGATGATAAACTCAAAATTTATCATGGTAATTAGCTCTCAAATCTAGCCTAAAGCATGAGAACATAGAGTTATTTTGGTTAGAAGACCGTAACCTTACCTCTCTTACAAATATGAGTAATTCTTGCTATTTCTGTAGGTGAATTGAGTTGAATTGGAGCAAGGATTAATCCAGAAGAACTTAGAGTGAGCAAATGAATGCAAGGAGGCTACTAGTTTTGTGCACTAATAGCATGCTCAAGAACGCTTTAATGCGCTGCACAACATGGAATCTTACTGTATTAGCGCGCTCCAGAGCACTAAAGCACCCGACGATGGGGAAAAGGCCCAAATTAGAAAAAAATGGTCCAAAATTAGGGCTCCCTCTTATAAAAGAAGCACAAAGGAAGAGATAAAAGTATATTTGGATCACAATTGCTCTGACTTTCATACTTTGGAGAGCCGGAGATGCGTAAAAGACACGGTCAAGCTGGGATACATGAAGATTCACCACGCACCTCTTTGAGATGGAATTTGGGGAAGGCTTTAGGATTCCTTTTATTTTTGTTCTCGCTATGTTTAGCTAATTGTTTTTGTAGTCAGGGTTATATGGAATCCAATTGAATCTTGATGTTTCTTGAGTTAATCTTTTAATATTGAATGAATATTCTTTTGCGCAATGCTTCCAGGAGTCTCTGTTATGGATTGATTTAAGATTCAAGTATGACAATAGAGATGTTGGTATTTGAATTGGATATGGTAAATTCATCATTAATTTGTATGATTCAAGGAATAGACATATGAATTGTGCAATCTTGATAATGCTTATTCTTAATGCTTAAACCCTTTTAAGAAACACCAAGAAATTAGGATTCTTGAATGGAGTAAAGGGTTAGGGAACCAAGACATTGGGTTTTAACTAATATAGATGAATTGATTGGCAATATTAAAAGGGAAATTAATTATATTGAAAAGAAGTTTCTGTATATATTGATTTTGAATAATTTACATGAGTGAGTATTTATACAAGAAAGAATCGCTAAGAATGACTAAGCGATGACTAATCAATCCTAATCACAATCAATTCTAATCAATCACAATCAATCCTAATCAATCATAATCAATCCTAATTAATAGGAAATAAAAACGGAAACATGTTTGGATTCTGATTTTCTACACTCCCCCTCAAGTTGGGAGGTAAATATTGATCATTCCCAACTTGCCAATCAAGTCTTCGAATGCTGGTCGGTGTAGGCCCTTGGTAAGGATATCTGCCGTTTGCTCTTTGGTTGGAACATATATCAAACGCACACTTCCATCATCTAATTTTTCTTTGATGAAGTGACGATCAACTTCCACGTGCTTTGTTCGATCATGATGCACAGGATTTTGAGCAATGCTAACAGCTGCCTTGTTGTCACAATATAGTTTTATTGGTAGGGAATATGAAATCTTCAACTCTTGAAGAAGTCTTCTCAACCAGATTCCTTCACAAACTCCATGAGATAAAGCTCGAAATTCTGCTTCAGCACTACTTCTTGCAACCACTGTTTGCTTTTTGCTTCTCCAAGTAACAAGATTTCCACACACATAGGTGCAATAGCCTGAGGTAGATCTCCTGTCTACTGATGAGCCTGCCCAATCTGCATCAGTGTAGATTTCAATTGTCCTTTTATACCCCTTTTTAAAGAATAATCCTCTTCCTGGAGTATTCTTGAGGTATCTAAGCACCCTATAGACTGCACTAAGATGCTTCTCCTTGGGTGAGTGCATGAATTGACTAATCATACTCACCGCAAAGGCAATGTCAGGACGCGTATGAGATAAGTAGATTAGTTTACCAACCAATCGCTGATATTGTTCTTTATCCACCTCATTCCCATCTTCAATACCTAACTTGGTATTAGGTTCCACAGGTGTCTCAGCAGGTTTACACCCTAACATTCCTGTTTCCAACAAAAGATCTAGAACATATTTTTTTTGTGTTAGAGTGATGCCTGTTTTGCTCCTAGCAACTTCCATACCAAGGAAATATTTGAGAGTGCCAAGGTCTTTGAGTTCAAATTGAGCTGCTAGAAATTTCTTCAAGGTGTTCAATTCCTCAATATCATCACCTGTAAGAATTATATCATCTACGTATACAATAAGAATAGCAATTTTACCATCCTTAGAGTGTTTGTGGAAGAGAGTATGATCAGTCTGTGCTTGAATGAAGCCTCTTCTTTTGACTGCTTGTCTGAATTTGTCGAACCATTCTCTGGAAGACTGTTTCAAACCATATAGAGACTTTTTTAGTTTACACACTGATCCATTTCCCTTTTCAAAACCAGGTGGAGGATCCATATAGACTTCTTCATGTAAGTCACCATTTAGGAATGCATTCTTCACATCTAACTGTTGCAGAGGCCAATCTAGATTGGCAGCAAGAGATAAGAGAACTCGGATGGTATTGACTTTAGCAACCGGAGCAAAAGTCTCATGATAATCTATCCCATGAGTCTGAGTGAAACCCTTTGCAACCAATCTTGCCTTGTATCTGTTGATGCTATTATCTGCATTGAATTTTATTGTAAACACCCATTTGCATCCTACTGCCTGTTTTCCTTTGGGTAGGGTCACTATCTCCCAAGTTCCATTTCTTTTTAAAGCATTCATTTCTTCAAAGACAGCATCCCTCCATTTTTGATCATTGAGAGCCTCATGTATATTTCTCGGTATCTTTGTACTATCCAACATAGTATTGAAAGCACGAAACCCTGGGGACAACTTTCCATATGAAATATGATTAGAAATAGGATGAGTAGTACAAGATCGAGTACCTTTTCTGAGAGCAATGGGCAAGTGTAGATCATTTTCACCATGACACTCAAGTATTGGGGTGCTGGAACTAGAACATGGTTCAGAATCCTGGCAGTGTAGAGGCTCTGGGTTATTCACACTTGGAGGAGGCTTTCGCCTGCTATAAACTTGTCCCCATTTTGAGGAGGCTCCTGATGGTGAGGATTCTGTAGCTCCCCCTGTTTCCAAAATTAGAGGTAATACCGTGGCATCAGTAGGTTCCCATGACTAATCTTCATCTACTCCTATCTCCCCCTGAAGAGAAGTCGAGGGGAAGAAAGGGTCATTTTCAGAAAAAGTGACATCCATAGAGACAAAGACCTTACGAAGAGAGGGTGAATAACATTTATAGCCACGTTGAGTAGGAGAATAACCAATAAAGACACACTGGAGAGACTTAGGATCAAGCTTAGACCGTTGATGGGAGGGAATATGGACAAATGCAACGCAACCAAATAACTTGAGAGGTAAGGAGGAGACACCTCGGAAGGAAGGGAAGATACGAACAAGACTAGAAAGAGGAGACTGAAATTTCAGAATGCGAGATGGCATTTGATTTATCAGATACGAGGCAGTGAGAACTGCCTCTCCCCAAAGATATTTAGGAACACTCGTGGTAAACATAAGAGCCCGAGCAACTTCAAGGAGATGTCGGTTTTTTCTTTCCGCAACTCCGTTTTGTTGGGGTGTGTCAGGACACGAGCTTTGGTGAAGGATGCCATGTTGGGAAAAATATTCTCCAAGAATAGAGTTAAAATACTCTTTGCCATTATCTGTACGAAGAATTTGTATAGCAACTTGGAATTGGGTTTGAACCATGACATGAAATTTTTTAAACACGGATGCAGCATCAGACTTATCCTTTAGAAGATACACCCAACAGACTCGAGAATGGTCATCAATGAAGGTAATGAACCATCGAGTACCTGAAATATTTTTAACACGGGCTGGACCCCATATGTCACTATGAATTAAGGAAAATGGGGAAGAGTCATGGTGAACTTTAGAAGGATAATGAGCACGAGTATGCTTGGCAAGTTGACAAATATCACAAGAAAACAAACTTGGACTTTTATGAATAAATAAGTTTGGCAACAACTTCTGAAGATAAATAAAATTTGGATGGCCTAGCCTACGATGCCACATCATAACATCATTACATGAATCAAAAGGAAACAAAGAGTTTTTTTCTACGAAAACAGCTTCATGAGTCACATCCTCCTCAAAGTAGTAAAGTCCACCATCCTCTCTAGCACTGCCAATCATCCTCTTCGAGTCCTGTTCCTGAAAAACACAACCATGTGGAAAGAATTTAGCAAAGCAATGCAACTCAGAGGTGAGCTTGCTAATAGAAATGAGATTACAAGTCAGAGAAGGAACATAAAGAACTGATGTCAAAGTAATCAGCTCAGAAAGTTTAATGGTTCCGTGTCCCGCAATCTGGGAAAAACTGCCATCGGCGATCTTGACCCGAGAAGGTTCAGAATATGGAGTGTATGAACAAAACAAGCCAAGATTACCTGTCATATGATCAGAGGCTCCAGAATCAAGGATCCAATGATTTTGACTATCAACATGGAAAGCTGTACCTTGCTGGACCACATGACTAGTGGCCTTAGGAGGTTGAGTCAAAAGTCTCTGAAGTTGTTCAAACTTAGTCTTGCTAAGAAAGACACCATCAGAGTAAGAGGAAGAGTGTTTTGAGGAAGCCATGAATAGAAAGAGAAGGGTTGACCGTTGATGAAAAATCAAGTTTTGTAAATTTTTGATCTGACCTCTGGAACAGGAAGAGGAGAAGTCGGCGAGAAGGTCTGTGCAAGTCGCGGCGGAAAAAGACGTTGGGAAGTCGGCGCGTGGAGCTCACGCGCCGGAAACTGGCCGCACGTGTGACGGCGCGTGGCGGCGCGTGCGGCGGTTGACGGCGATGGGTCCAGCGGCGGTCGACTTGTCGGACCTTCTGAGTCGAATGGTCACCTTACTTTCTTGATCGGAGGTCAGTAGACTAGGTTTCTGTGTTGGACAGATTCAAGGAGGTGTTTATGAGGTGTTTGACGGTGATGGAAGTGTTTGGATGGTCATTTCAGATTTGAATTAGGGTAGGAACGAACCCGCTCTTGATACCATATTGAAAAGAAGTTTCTGTATATATGATTTTGAATAATTTACATGAGTGAGTATTTATACAAGAAAGAATCGCTAAGAATGACTAAGCGATGACTAATCAATCCTAATCACAATCAATTCTAATCAATCACAATCAATCCTAATCAATCCTAATTAATAGGAAATAAAAACGGAAACATGTTTGGATTCTGATTTTCTACAAATTAGAAACTAAGTCAGGTTACACAAGTGAAGATTGGGGGAAATCGAAACCCTAAATGCTCCTTTCTTGATAGCATTCTTGTTTTTATTTCTAGTTTCTTCTCATATTATTCGATCCATCCAACTTAAGCGAAATTGGAACGATACTCTATTCACTACTTTATTACTTGTAGTGCTGGTATACTTGTCGAGTTAGCAACTATTGACATCATACTTACAAAGATGCTACATCCAGATTGCATTTGACTAAACCCATCCCGTGTAATCAACTTCTGATACATCTCTCCAAAGATCTATCTATAGTTTGGCTCAAATAACATTCGCCCATTTCTTATACAAGATTGTGATGCAACTGTGACCAGTAAGGTATTAGCATAAACAGTCAAAACAAGAACCACTGCTATCATAAAGAAAATTGCACCGAGATTTAAATTTAAAGGTAACGCAGAAGATATCAAGGATATATAATGCACACACCTGTCTTTTGAGGAACCGATTTTGCTGGTTGGCTTCACTAAGCTTCTTAGTGAGTTTTGCTCTTTCAGTATCAGCAAGCAGTGACATTATCTGTTTAAAAAATTTGAAATGGAAGATGTAAGTAAAATTTATTAATCCAAGTTGCATAAAAAATAAAATAAAATAAGAGGTATCTTGAACAAGTGTTGCCACTCTGGCTAAAAACATAGTAATCATATCTTAAAAACTTTTAGCCCAATAAAGTATTCTCAGTATACTGCACTAAACATGCAAGTTCACCATATTAAATTCAATCTCAGAACATTATAACTTAACAGGATATCAATTGCATACATTATGCGTCACAGATTCATGAAGCCCTTTTCCCCATTCACCAAAAAAATCAAACAAAAGAAGTATAAAAAAATACAAATAGTAACCATAATAGCAATGGCTTTAAAATAACAGCAAATAAAAAAGGTGTTCAACTTTTGGAACTTGGTGAAACCATTTCTTCAGGTTGATTTTTATTATTTTAGAAATTAATAACCCAACTAACAACAAATGCGAGAGACCCATATCATTTGAAGAATAACAATCTATCCTAAAATACAGTTCAGAACCTGAAACAGTTTCCCTTTACTAGCTTTCCTTTATCCTTACATCCGTCCCAGGTCTATGTATTGTTCTGAATTGCCATGATAGGAGTATGTTAATGGTGAATCAATTATTGTTTTGAAAATACTGTAATGCAAGGTAGTGTCTTAGGATAAACACAGACAGGCTAACCTCTCATCACAAAACAAACACCCCAAAGCAAAGAAAAGGAAAAAGGGATAAAGAAAATAACACAACGGTAAAGGAAGGAATTTAATCTGAGTTTGTTTATTATTCAGAGTTCAGACTCTTTCTAACATGAGAATGATAAAGGTGCATCAATTCTCTATTTTAAGATTACCAACGATCGGTCAACCTTACATTGTACAAGAAACGTCCCCTCCCAAAGCCAAGGAAAAAACAAACAAAATCCCAATAAAAGCAGGAATTAAATCCTAGGTCTCTAATGGTGTGCAAATAGACCATCATCTGAACCACTTTGGGGTTTATTCTTGCAGAAAAGAGAACTGAGACAAAAGTAGAGAAAGAAGAAGAGAAGTAGTAAGTAGTTCTAAAATCGTGAAGACATTTTATAGTTCACAAGGTATATCAATGCTTCGAAAGGCATATAAAAATAATTTTAAAAAAAATGGCACCATCTGCCCAAGAAAAAGAGAAAAATTCCAGGTGCATGAGAAGTTAAGAACACATCTGTGATCAAATGGCAGTTCTGGGATTTCCAAAAGACAACTATGAAGCAGACAAAAAAGCATACCTGTTCACTGGTAAGTGGTTGTGCTGAAGTCTCCGCTTGTGAGTCTGTAGATGGATCCTCAGCCTCACTAGAATTATCTCCAGATTTTAATGATGCGGATTCCTCTAAACTAATCTGCATAGAATGTGTTCTACAGAAAAAAGGCCTTCTTGGATATACTGCAGTAAAAGCTTGATAGGAAGAAGCCAATCTGTGAAAGTCCCACTTTGACCTCAGGGCAGCCACATTATATGGAGGTTTCTGAGTGTTTTCCCATCCTATTGTTCTGGAAATATTGGAAAAGAATAATCCCTGTGTCTCGAGACGACACCTAGTCAAATTATGAAAGAATCATGATAATTAATATTAATAATCGCAATGTCATACGCAACAATAATGTACAATGAAGCCCATGTATACAGTATCACTAAATGCAAACCTTACTATTTTAAATAGAAATAATAATATTTTTCTCAGTAATTATTGAGAGATGGCTAATATCATCATCAAGAGCATTATAAGCAAAAATAAAAAATAGAATAAAAAATCCAAACTTTCATTATCTGGGGTTGAGGGGAGGACCAAAGGAGAGGGAAGTTGCAGGGGCAGTTTCAAAAATAGTGGTATGGCTTCAAGCCTTTAAGGTTAATTTACTATTATGTTTGGTGTAAGCTTACCTTGCAATATTTATTTCCGTCATGAAGAGGGTTTCACTTCCCCTGTCAAAGAGAAGAGAAAGTAGAATATCAGGACCTATTCAAGCAGATATGTTGAATTATATAGCACAGTAACACCACAAAACCAAAATGTAAGGATAACAGACCTTATAGAAAAAAATGAAATACATTCTGAACAAGGTGTTCCAAATTAAGTTATTGGCTAGATTTTGAAGCTTAGTGCATGCACCAGAAGTTAGAATAAAGAACGATCAAAACATGACAGGTTTTGGATTATAAAACGTAGGGATGACAATCAGAACATCACAACCACCTTATAAAAGAATGTGATACCTCTTGCCTTAACTAATTACCCTTTCCTCTCCTTTGGAGATGAAAAGGTAGAAACCAAGATTTTCTACACTTGCAGTTATGAAAGTATGTGAATCAAAATAAACATTTCTTGTCTTCCAAAAAGATACTTCTGTTGAATATAACCAAGATGGCCCAACTAAAATGTAAATGAACTAGTGACCTTGACAATTAAATTTAGGGAAAAGTTCACCAATGCCCCTATGGTTTACTCCAGAATCACTTATGTTCCTGTGGTTTTTTTTCGATCACATATGTCCCTGTGCTTTGTAAAAACTAAGAAACCACAGGGGCATATGTGATAAAAAACATACCCTTTTACAAATCACAGGGGCATATGTGATAAGAAAAAAACCACAGGGGCATAAGTGATTCTGGAGTAAACCAGAGGGGAATTGTTGAATTTCCCTTAAATTTAAAGATTACAAACAATTTAAAATATCAATAAAGGAAACTATGTCAGTATGTTGTGGACAGGTAACAAGATTTCTCCTCTATCAACAAGAATATCAATTTTACATCTAACAAGTATCAACAATGTCCCAATCCATCAAAAAATAACACATTTAAACTGCCAACAAGACATAAAGTTGAAATCTCTTAACAACTCCAAAATAAAGGAGAGATACAAAAATAACTACCAAAAGACACAACCCTTTTTAAAATATATCATTCTCAATCAACAGTAAACTCTAAAAGGGAGTTCTCTAATGCTCTAAACTCTATTATATATCATCCTCAACCAACACTAAGCTCTAACCTCACTCAATGCTTACTTGAAACCTATGATCCTTTGGTTAAACACAAACACTAATATTTTGAATTGGGCTTTCTCGGCCCACCTACCTACCAAGACATAATCATTGAGTGAATATTAAACTAGACCATTATTTTCCCTGAAAGCCCAGAAAAATGTTATGACTTATGATTATGATTCATTAAGAAAGAGACACAGTGCACCACAGTTGATGAATTGAAAATGTAAGAATAAGACATAAGAAACCTCTTACAGAGAGTATGAGAACCCTTGTCTTCTCTACTGATTGATATCTTCTGGTTAACACTCACGCACTTCTTCACTCTTGTCTTCGAGGCCAAAAACGATAGTTTTGTGAAAAGGCCACGTGGCGAATAAGTAAGGCACCGATAATCTGCACGTGTCGGAATTCGGGATTAGTGGACGGTGGAGGATTCCCAAGCGTGTGCCTTGTCTTCTTATGACTTTGAACTCAAACCGCAAGCGCAGACGAAGAACAACAAGAAAAAGAAAAATCACACAGACCTTTTTTCCTTCCTTTTCATGTGACGGTATCCTTCCCACAAAAAAACCGGATACCGTCACGCAGTCGATTGTAATTTATAAGGGTGATAATTTTTTTTTGGTGGGAAGTATATTTTTCTCCCCTCTTCTTTTTCCTGCTCTAAAAGCGGATAATAATAGATAGTATATTTTTTTGGTTCTAGAGTAAATACTTTTTTTTTGGTTTCTAACAAAAAAAATATAGTCCTCATTTTAGATTCATACAAAAAAAATTAGTCTACAAGTCCTTAAGAAATTCAAAGTAAATCCACTTAGTTAAAATTGTGGTCTCTCACAAATTCAAAAAAGAGCCACATTAGTCTCTCGAAAAGACTAAAGTGAGTCCACTTTGAATTTTATAGGGACTAACCGACTAATTTTATTTTGTAAGAGACTAAAGTGGAGACTTTGTTTTTTGTTGGGGACCGAAAATGATATTTACTCTTGGTTTAATATAAGGAGATAAAATTATAGAGTAAATACCTTTTTTGTCTTTGCTTGGGATCCAAAAGGATATTTACGCTCGAAAAAAAAATTGATTTATATTTTTGAACTTTGTACAAGAGAAAATCTTTGTCTTTGCTAACCATAATTGTTTATTGGGTGTTTTTAAAATAAGTGAAATTCATGCCTTTTTTTTATTTTCAACTTTTTTTTATGGTTGTATTTATTGATTTTATTTCATTTAAAAAATGAGTACTGTTTTACATTTATCTTTTTCCAAAAAAATATATTTTAATGTAGAGCTATAGTTGCTATTGGTAACGGAATTGAATTGTTTCTTGGTGTTATTTGTATTTGATGTCACAACAGGAATAAGAATTTTGGCGATTAATCAGTGAAAATTGTTAAAGAGAAAAATCAATGAAGATATATGTATATATATGGAGTATGAAAATTTCTTGTACATATTCATTAACAACTTCTTTTGTTTTTTTGTATTTTTAAATTTTTTAAAATATTTCAATACTGATTAAATGATTTATGTGGATCCAATGTCATTTAAATGATTTTAGACATTTGTCGCAGATTGTTCCATGTTTCTTTTTAATTGTAAAGTTTGTTGTCTCTCTATGTTAATGTTCTTCACATGTTATGACTAGGGGTATAAATGAGCCAAGTTAGACTAGACTATGACTTTGATAGCTTAAGCCTATGTAAAATATTTAGAATCTATACTGACCTATTAGCCTATTAAAGACTTGATTTAAAATATAAAAGATAAAAAAAATATTCACAAAGATCATATGAAATAAATTTTCATTAACATAACATGAAACAATGTTCATAAAATCACATGAAAATTTCACACACACACACATATATATATATATATAATTTGTATTTTCTTTACTAATTTAATTTTATATCATATTTTAAATTTTAAATAAATATTTATTATTTGTTAAAATAACACCAATCCTATTACTTTAAAGATTTTAAATAAATTTTTTTCATAGTAGATTTGTATAATTATAAAAATATTTTAGTAATTTAGTATGTCAATTTTTTTTATCCCAGCTAAAATTAAATTTTGGCTCCGCCATTATTTCTTTTCCTACATAAATATATATAGTATCAACTTTGACGAAATTAATATCAACATCATTAAAATATAGGGCTTTATACCTCAGCTGTTACTACAGAGGTTTAGATTTTCCCGCAGAGAGAAACAACTACGGGTCCCACCAAGTTTTTTGAAAAAATAAAATGAAAATAACATGGCACAAATTTTGGTGAGCCTATGGCTGCAAAAAAAACTCCACTAATGTTGCTGAAGAAGTGTTTTATCCTAAAATATATGTAGCTCCCTGATTGTAACCGGTAACTCACATTTACATAAAATAAAATAAAAAATAAATAAAAGAACCTTATGCTCAAGAGATGGACACTGCCATTGCCAAATCAACACATACGGGCATGTATGTATATTAAAGAAATACAAAATGAGCGGTATTGGTGCAATAAATCTTATAACAATTAAGTTGTTACTCACAAGATAAATACAATTTTTAAGGTCACAATTCAAAAGAAGCAACAGTGTATGAGGTTTGATTTTCTCATGCTGCATGAGAATTGAATTCTTATGTTGTGACTTAACTAGTGGTAGACCTCACATTAACTAAAAAAAAAAAAAAAAAAAAACTTTGCACGCAATTCTCATGCCAACATGAGAAAATGTTTCCCGCAATTTATACCCGAAACTTTCCTATAATTCTTAAACCCTTTTTCCTCCAAAGTACTTACCCTTTTTCTTTCTGGAGAATGACTGGTACAAATTATATTACCATCAAAATGTAAAAATTAAACTTATTGAAAACAAAAAAATACGGCAAAATTTATTATATCACCGTGTCAACAGCTAAGGAGATTCTAATTAAATACAACATATTTTCTCTTATGTTCCTTGTATATTAAATAAGACTACCCATAATTCAAAGTCTGAATTACAACAGGGTAAACAGCATCTCCCATTCTTTTCACTCACTACTAGTCATTACAATACCATCAACGAAAAAACAGCGGAAAAAAAAAAAAAAAAAGACATGTCAACGTGAGTCTGTGAATAAGAGAAGAGATAAAAAGACTGGAGAAATTAAAGCATAAGGTGCTGCTGATTTTTGAGGGTGCAAGTCTCATATTTATAATATGCCAATATGTTGTCACCTACAGTTTCTTTGAACCAGGAACCTCAATCCAATCCAACTGGAGCTCCACTTCCCCACACTCAACATTTCTTAGTCTAAGAACCATTTTTTGGATAACTTTGCCATCTTTCCACACAATTTTACTCTCTTCTGCTAAGCAATTTTGTCTGCTAGGTTTCTCACTTGTAACTATGGTGTCATTAGGAAGATCTTCCAAACGCATCTTCACTGCTTCAAGAAATGGACCAATGGAAAACTCAGCATCCCCCATTTTGTCATCCAAGCTAAATCTGTCCTTGTCATACACAAACTGCATCACAGGACATTCATATTACTGCCCTTGTTGAATTCAATAGAATGTGCTGATAAATTGAATTAATTCAAACTTCCATGATCTTCAATAGGCACAGTAACTCAGTAAGTAACAAAGTTATGCAATGTTTCACCAAACCCCACACATATGATAATTTCATAATTCCCAAAGTTTAACATCTTGATTCTAAGATAATGTTCATATGGTTTAAATGTTTTGTTATACACGAATCAAGTTTCTGCAATTTGAAGAGCTTCCTTAGTGAATATGCATCAGTAAAATGGCTAACAATGATAGTCAATGCAATTTTAATTTCTTTTTTTAACCCAACTTTTGCTATGTGGTACTGAAACACACACTGTTACAAGAACAGCTACTTACTAGTTGGACTGGTGCATGAGGATCAGAAATGGACAAAGTCAAGTCATCATTCCACTCAGGATTTAGATTCTTCTTTACTACACGAGTCTTCAGCTTCTGCTTATAACATAAAATGCAGTAATGAGTTGGATGTATTGTACAGACAACAAGAAACACACAAGGTTGCTACCCTCTTCAATTTAAAGCCAACAAACAAAATAATTAACCCAAATCGTGGAAAAACATATTGTTGATTATATAAAGCATTCTATTCTAACTTTAGACTATATAGTTACAACATATAGACTTAATTACCCCCTTGCATATAAATTTCAACCTATCTTTTAACAAGTTGAATTAGTTGCCGTGCTTAGTGCATAATCTAATTCTAATGAAGAAAGAATCACCGAAGAGCTATTTTGGATACAAACAGAAAATTTATCATCACTTGTCACGGATGAACACAGCTTAAACAAAGTTCCAAAACAATCTATAGATATTGAGAAACCATGAAAAAGAAACAGATACTCCACTGTTGGTCAGGTAAAAAGTCAATAAGGTGAAAGATCATCAGAATCAGTACTATTAATAAAAAGAAAAATCAGGAGAAATATTAACAGAGGAACAGAGTCAACAAGCACCTGAGACTTGTCACAGAATGCCCAGAAGAAGAAAAAACCCAACTTTGCAACCAAAAGAATAGCAATTATCACAAAGATTCAGAAAAACACAATTTTGATGATATCACAGAAGTGGAAAAACCTGACCTGCTTGCCCATTTTGATGATCACATAAGGGTCACTGCTCACTACATCCCTGATAGCAAGATTGACCCCTCTTTCAACATGAATTCTGAGCAGACCCAAAATGTTCTCCATTGAGAAAATTAAGCAAAATGGAATCTCAACACAGAATATGTGGTTGCAACTTGCAAGGGATCCCTTCACTCAAAAGTACAAAATGGTTGCATCTATATAAACTAGAAGCTGTTCTTTCTTTAATGTTTTTTCGATGTCAGTGGTTTCTTTGACTATTCTTACATGTCTTTATACGGGGTCCAGTCAAATAATTGTTTTTATTTTTTTTTGGAGCTTAGTTATTTTAGAGTAAATAATTTCAATATTGGGCTTAATTTAATCGATTCGCTTTTTTTATAGTTAACGTAAATAATTTATTTACATTTAGGAGATTTATTAGATTGAAATTTCAAAAGATTTTAATGAATTATTTTTGGACAAAAAAAATACATTAGTATTCAATTAGAATTTTAAAGGATTAAAAAAAGTCACGTGGGTATCGATAAAGATTTTAAAAGATTATTTTTGATTCCGTCCAAATCCGTTAGTATTCAATCAGGATTTCAAATAAAGGAAAAACAATTTTGTAGTATTCAAAAATCTTACGATTTTAATGAATTTTTTATTGGTGTGAATTTTGTGAGACTTTGGAGTGAGAAATATAAATAGGATGTTTCTCTCACAATCTTACCCTAACCCCTATAATTTCTTGAGATCTCTACTGTGGTGTTTTCTTCCTTTGGTGGGTCGACTCACTCGAAATCGAGTTCCGCCATAGGAGTTTCGTCAAAGCTCAAAAATAACATATTTTTGAGCGATTTTCATCACAAAATAACCCAGAAACAACAACCCAACAAGATTTTAATCTAAAATTCATTTGAAAAACAGCAAATTTTGGAGCAATTTTTTGAGAATTTTTGAAAGTTTAAAAATGATTTTTCAAGCTATTGGTTATGACTTTTGTTGGTATGAAAATATGTGATTTTTATATTAAAAACAACAAGGGAACAAAAACCTTCAAACCAATTTTCATTTTACATCAACGAAACAAGATCGATTTAAAGAAAGATTGAAATTTTCATAATATGAACACTATGTTTCATAATAATACATTCATGGACGAAATTCCTTCGCTATAGGAAACTATTTCAAACAATTTTTGTGTCAATAGATCACTAAAAACTTATTTTTCAAAATTCCCAAAGCAATTTAAAATTTCAATGTATCGATTGAAAATAATTTGAGAAATTTTCTAAACTTTCGTGTAATAAAACCCAGAAATTCAGATTCAAAATTTTCTTGAAATACTCAATGAAAACATGCATATGATATATGGTTAGAAAACTCTCATCACGTAGAACAAAAACTCAAAGGTTTACAAGATCAATTGCAAAAAATTACAAACGAAAAATTATCATGATTTTTACTAATTGAGAAAATTATATTACGTTTTATTTTTTGTATTAATATCATTGCATTTCTTTGTTAAATTTTTTTATTGACTCTTATAATTTTGAATGTTTGATAAAAATTCATAAGGTTTTTTAAAATCTTATAAATTCATATTGTCCTTTCGAATCTTATAAATTCTATTAAAGTCCTTTAAAATTCAATCTTATAAAATCTTGATTGTAAAAAAAGTCTTTAAAATCTCTCTAATTCTGAACAGTCTTTTAAAATCTATAAGATTTTTTATCTCAAAAAAGTATTTTAAAATCCTAATCCAATACTCCCCTTTAGCCCAAAACGACGTCGTTTTGAGGCAAAAATCAAGGTATTTTTGTAATTATAGTTTATTTTAGGTTATAATAGTCTTTTTTGTTATAATTTTTTTATTTTTCAACCCAAAACGATCATTTTGAGAGCAAATGTAGATAACTTATCTATATTCACTATAGAAACATTAAAGCCTAATTTAATTCCTTCCAAAAAAAAATATATATAACTTGTGATTCTTTTAAAATCAAAATAGACCTATGTTAGTTTTGTAAGGAATTAACGTGAGTCTTCTTTGAATTTTAGAGGAATTACGATTTCGATAACTAGATCTATTTTGAATTTTAGAAAAAACACAAGTTAACTTTTTGTCAAGGGATTAAAAAGAATTTCGTAATTTTTATTGAGAATCTAAAATGTACTTTATTCTCTATTTTAAAATAATCATAGTGATTTTCAAGATCTAAATAATAAAATAAGTTTTCTTTTTATTATTTAAATTATTTTATTTGGTGCAATTATAATCCTACCATGTACGAAGAAAAATCATTTTGCTATAAAATATAAAGAATGACCACCATACCTAATACTGAGATGGTAATAAACTAAAAATAATGGTATAATTTTTTTTTTTATAAATAGAAATTTAAAGACATAACCTAATAGAATATATCTAATCACATAATAATGGTATAATTATCGAATTTGATAAGTACCGGTAATAGTATAGAATAGAATCCAGAAGCTGCTAAAATTAAATTTGTGTGATTCACTGTGTTTGTAATGCAAAAAAAGAGAATAGAATCCGAAGTGTGAACTCATTCGGCATCTGACTACACGCTTTTATAATTTTTCATATTTTTAATCAGAGTGCATTGAATGTATTGACGGCGTTTTCGCTTTGAAGGTAAAGGGTAATGCTAACGTGTAAGTGTGTAACTGAAAGGCTAACGGAGAGTATTGAATTCAGATTTTAAAGGATTTTAATGGATTGTTTTTGGACAAAAAAATCCACTAGTATTTGATTAGGATTCTAAAGGATTGAAAAAAAGTCACGTAGTATTCGATTAGAATTTTAAAGAATTATTTTAGAATCCGTCCAAATCCGTTGGAATTCAATCAGGATTTTAAACAATGGAATCACAATCTCGTGGTATTCAAAAATTCAACGATTTTAATGGATTTTCTATTGGTGTGAATTTCGAGATAATTTTGAGTGAAAAATATAAATAGGATGCATCTCTCACAATCTCATCCTAACCCCTAGGATTTCTTGAGATTCTTCTATTGCAGTGTTTTCTTCTTCCTTTGGCAGGTTGACTGCTCGAAATTGGGTTCCGTCATGGGAGCTTCGTAAAAAAAAGTATATTTTTGAGTGATTTTCATCACAAAACAACAAAGAAACAACAAACCAACGAGATTTTAATATAATCTATCTCAAAAATAACATATTTTTGAGCAATTTTTGAGAAATTTTGGAAGTTTAAAAAGTAATTTTTCAAGCTATCGGTCGCGATTTTTCTTAGCACAAAAATATGTGATTTTTATATTAAAAACAACATACAACAGTGAAAAAATAACAAGGGAACTCAAACCAAATATCAATTTAAAGAAAGATTGAAAATTTCATAATATGAACCCTATATTTCGTAACAATACATTCATGAACGAAATTCCTTCACTATAGAAAATGATTTCAAACAATTTTTGTGTCAATAGATAACTAAAAGCTTGTTTCTCAAAAGCCCCAAAGCAATTTAAGGTTTCAATATATTGATTGAAAAAAATTTGAGAAATTTTCTAAACTTTCATATAATTAAACTCAAAATTTCATATTCGAAATTTTTTTATAATATTCAATGAAAATACATATGATATATGGTTAGAAAAATCTCATCACATAAAACAAAAACCCCAAGGTTTTCAAGATCAATTGCAAAAAATTTCAAACGAAATTTTATCATGAACTTTAGGTTCTATATGCAAATTTAGAATTATTTTTATAATTAAAAAAAATTGGGTCTTATAATCATATATGCATAGCTTTGATACCAAATGAAGAAGATAATTTTCAACCCATTAGACATGTGAAAAGTTGTTGTTTAGTAATTTCTAATGTTTGTTAAAAATTATATTATCTTTTACTGATGGAGAAAATTATATTAGGTTTTACTTTTTTTATTAATTTCATTGCATTTCTTTGTTATTTTTTTATGAGGAAGATTATACTTACAACCTATTTTTGTTTACAATCTTTTACAACCATATCTTAACCGTTGATTTCCGTCAATCAATGGTTATTATTTTCGCAAATCAAACTCATTAATTAATATTTAATTTGTAATGAATGATAACTGTTGATTGACAGAAATCAACGGTTAAGATATGATTGTAAATTGTTGTAAACAAAAATAGGTTGTAAATATAACCTTTTCCTTTTGTATTGACTCTTGTAATTTTGAATGTTTGTTAAAAATTCATATGGTTGTTTAAAATCTTATAAATTCATATTGTCCTTTCAAATCTTATAAATTCTATTAAAATCTAATCTTATGAAATATTTATTGTAAAAAAAGTCTTTTAAAAAAATCTTTAAAGTCTCTCCAATTCTAAATAGTCTTTTAAAATCTATAAGATTTTTTAGCTTAAAAAAGTTTTTAAAATCCTAATCCAATACATCCCCCCTAAACCAATTCTAGAAGATTCTTCTTTTCTTTATTAGGTGAAAATATAATATGAAAATTAATTAAAAAAAACCCAAACAAACGACATTTTGCTTATTCGAAAAGAAAACACAAAAAAGTAAAAAAAAAAATAAAGTATGGATTTAACATTAATATTTTTCTATCACATTTATAAAAGTGAATGAATCCTATTTTGAAGAGTAGAAAGAAAAAAAGTTAATGAACGACATTTATTTTTATGTAAGTGTAATAGAAAAATATTTTTTTTGCAATAAAAACAAAAATATTTTTCTCATTAAATATATGGGATGAAGAGCACATCTTATTTTATCAAAGGCATTTACTTTGTTTTAAATACTTAGTCCATTTTTGTTTTTTATTGTATTTTTTTTTTAAAAGTCTCCTCATTTATCTTATGTGTAATTTATTTTGAGATTAAACGTATAATCCTGATTTTATACTTAATCAATGGTGACGTAGGGGGTGCAACATGAATCTTTATTTTGGGTTCACTCATTTAAATACATGTCTTATTCGTGTTGTCAATATATAATATGTAAATACGAATTTAACATATACTTTTAAGTTAATTATCATTTTAATCAACTAATACCATGTTGAATCTCTCCCTAAGTGAAAGATAGAGATTAAGGAGAAAGTTAACAAAGTACAATTTTTTATTTATTCTCGAATGCTTAATCAGAATACAATTCCAAGTATTTATTCATTCCCTACACAACTACACTAACTATTTCAACTACCTCAACCAGTATCCATATGCCACGTA